TAGGTTGGTGTTATCATAAGTCTTACGGGTACGCCTTCAGCTAATCGTGCACCTGGGACCCTAATTGTGAGCGAGATTGGAGGAGCAGTCTAATCGAGGCAATCATTCTTCACTCTTTGCTTGTCATCTCATAGCTCTCCAAAGTTCATCGTTGAGGTCACCTTGGTATTGGCTGAGTTGGTTGTCGACTACTCACCGGGATACTCAGCTCATTTCGGAATTAACATTAACTAGTTCTGGAGACAAAGCACAATATTGTCCGTAGATGTCCGAATATGTCTTTGATATACAAATGTAACTCCAGAAAACTTATACCGGAGGTCTTTTTCATCTACTTCTCGAGCTTATTCATTTCTCACACCATCTTATGACCGGGACTTGACCTTCACGATTTGCCTTTAGTACTATAACGGCTGATCGACTCAGGTCACACCACAGGTGAGTGAAGGTGTTGGGTTATATGGACATACACTGGTGCCACCACAACCATATTCCTCTGTCTGAGAGATCGGGGAGACGGGCGGTGGGAACGGTTTTGTGTAATCGATTCGTCGCGCGCGGCTGTCGCAGACCATTCGCTTCTCCTTTATTACAGCTCTAGCGTACTTCATACAGCTCAATCGATGTGACATTATCATTTTGGCATGATTCTACTGTTAGTTCCTTCGTTCCTGTATTCCTTACCTGCTGCTGCATTCTGCTACACTTTTTCGCTCGCGGCATCCATCTCGCAGCGACGCGACAGTTTCGTTCCTACTGCACCACACCCGACAGATCGGTCATGGTCAAATATCTCACTACAATTCGGCATTTTCTCTGGCTCACGGCAATTATTTTCATTTAAAATGGTCAAAAATGTGTCTGATTATTTGTCAGCCAATGGGTGCTTCTTGGTGTATTCACCCACATATAAATTATACGGACATATTCAGGAGTGAAATCTAAGTAAATAGCTTCAGTATAAAAAGAAACCGAATTAGGAATCGGGAACATATTGAATTAAAAGGGAAATGTGATCCCCCACTCAAATTGCTACTCATTAGCATCGAAGGGCCCTTCTCACCTTTGTCACGTGCCCAATTAATCGGAGCCCCCATTGAAGAGGTCGACCTCGGCCAATCCAACCCCTGCACACCCCTCTGTCTTGATTGCAGTTTACCCATGGTGCACGAGCGATTTCGATGCTCGCTTTCTTCGTTTTCCTTTTCTGCTTTTGATTAATTCACGTATAGAGTTCTATCACCTGTACTTCCTAACTTGGATGTCATTCTATTGGAGCTGCTGGACCTTCCTTGGGTTATTTACTTGAAATCGAACTCTCGAAGCGTCACAAATCTTCAGGAAAGCTTTCATACTCCTTTACAGTCCTCATTACTCTGATGTCTTGAGTAGCCCGATGGGGTGCCTTCGCCAGCTAGAAAGGAACTGTTCTTCTTCTTGACCATCAAGCTTCTCTTATAAAGCGTCCTTACGAGAGCTTCTGCGACTTTGAGTAAAGCTAGGATGTATGGCGCGTCTAAAATGTGCTATTGTGCATCTTGCTACCTTTTTCCCGTCTCTGTGCTCATATGCGTATTAAATAAATAAATAAATAAATAAATAAATANTTTTGTGAGTCAGACATTTTCGAAATTGTTTCTGTCATTTCTTACGTCATTCATGGCTTAGCAACGAGGTGGTTTGCTAGAAGGAACAGTTGGTAATTGAAGGCCCCCCTCGGTATTGAAGTAGCTTTGCTTCAGTGATTAAAGCAAAGAGTAAAGTCTTGGGGCGTTAATCAATCCCGTCAGAGGACTACGCCCACGAATTCGACTTCCATTTAGATTCGTTTCGATTTGATTTGAACCCGTGACCGCGCGTATGAGAAGTGCGCCTATTGCCTCTACACCACCTACGGCCTTGTTTCAGCGACAGTGGCTGAGGAACGATTCAGGGGCTAAGGGGTTTGGCAAACTTATTCTATCACAATTTCACGTATTACTCATCTGCCCTCGAACAATGCGTTTTTTCAATCGAGCACTCGATAATCAGTTGTCGAAAATTTAATTGCACCCAATATGTACTTATGCGTACAGAAAGTTGTGCACAGTTGTTAAGTGCTCCTCTCAACATTTCCGGTAGACTCACCACCACTGAGAGAAGATAATTGGTGGTGGAAGTCCTCTCTGATGAGATTAGAACATTTGTTCTAAGTACTTTTTTCCTGTTCTCTTCAACATCTGGCTAAAATAGAACTGAATGATTCTGTGTGGGAGTTAAGTTTGCGGTGGATTCCAATGTGATTGATCAGCGTCGAGTGATGTATCTCTTTTTGTCGTCATGCAACATCATTGCCGCTGTCTTCGTTCACTTCCATTCTCTCTGGCCATAAGCCAAGTTTTGGTCTAGGCGAGAACTTCTCATTTCCACTCAATGAGACTTATTCTCTTTCAAATTAGGTTCTCCAAGTTAGCGATCAGTTTGGCATCTCAATAGGCTCTAAAGAGAAGGTCCTTTTAGAGTAAACGATGAACGATTAACAGTGAACAAGTTGCTCCTATTCGGACCAAACCTGACTGTAAAAGAGGTGAGAAAACTCTCTGGGAAACGGTAGAATGGTCTTACCAGGCTTTCGAACCTTTTTCTTTGCAATATAAGTTCGCCGGACAATCTAATACCGTGCTTTTGCTTTGAATGCTCTCAAATAGATGAATGATTTTTACTGGAGCCGTTTGACTGGCGCACACTTCTGCGCTCAACAGTCGGTGGCAGCATCACGGGCTCCTTTGTGGATTTTTTCAGTTGGTAACCTTTGTTGTCGTTGACATATGACGAATGCTGAGTTTTTTTTGTGAAGAATTTATGGCCCACTGCTCTTCTTATCTTCATAGATATCACCCAAATGGGGAACCCAAGTAGTAAGTAGCTGATTTCTTGTTATTATTGAAATCGGGACAAAAGTGAATTATGATCAGTCATTGAGTTTCCTCTGCAGGCAAAGACTTAATGCGTTCCGTGACACTTCTTTTCGCCATTTCTTATCATTCTTTATCAGTCATTAGCACTTTCACTAATCCATAATCTGTTCTATGAGCCAGTTCCATTGCAAATATATTCGTATTATTTCTAAGAGCTAGAGCATTACTGTAAAAGCGATAGACGCAAACAGTATAGTGGCTCCCCACTGCGAGCGCTCCTTTTCAATTACCACAACTTTTCGTTACCGACCTTCCGTCACTTACCCTCTCTAACTTTGAACGCTTTGGGTCCGCTGTGTGAGAATTTCAAATTTTCCTGCTTTGCTAAGCTCGCCCCTGGAGGTGTTGAAACTTAGACTGATCTCGCCTTTTCCCTTTTCTGATGAACATTAAGTGAGGTGGATCGTAACTTGAGGTTGATACGATTAAGGAAAGGCATGGAAGGCAACTAATGTAAGTGGTGGTCGGAGACATGGCCATTAAAAAATCAGGATCTCGGCTTCAAGACGTTAATGTCAGAAGTTCAGTTACCTACCACGATTGTTTCCCGTCGGGTAGTAAAGGAGGTCGGACTCACGCTCCTAATTGCACCTAATAAATGATAAATAACAAGTAAGGTTATACTAATAAATAATAAGGCATAATAATAAATAAGGTCCTGCTCACGCCGCTGACTTTCTCATGGTTCACCCAGATGAATCCTGTTCAATGGCGCCATATCTTTCTGCCACGAAATTTTTGATAAAGCTTCCATAAGCAACTATTTGATCACAACTTTCCCTCGACGAATTCACGTGGCATCGCTTTTTTTTTCACAGCTTTTAAGCTATTTACTACTTAATCTTTTCGCACTAAGAAGATTTTTATTTCAGAATGACGGCAGTTGCGTCACCATCAAAAAGTAAGCAACTAGTGCCGATTCCACCTGACGGTGGTTGGGGATGGGTCGTGGTGCTGGGATCGTTCTTCGTCCACGTTTTCGCTGATGGTTTCGTGTACTCATTCGGTGTACTTGTTGAAGTACTCATGAAGGTGCTTTTTTATCTTCTTCTTTTTTACCCAGGGTTCAATGGCGCCAGAGTTATAGCGATAAGAATTGGCTAGGAACCGTTCTGTACGAACATCTTAGAGGATCGAATCGATCTTGTTCCAGCAAAAGTTCTCAGTGGCCGCGAGTCTAAGCAGTAAACCACTCCTAACATGTAGTGATAGAAGCGGAGGTCTTAACGATAATCACTGCACTCCCACGATCTCCTAGGGGTCTGTAAGAGCTTGTTTTGTCAGATTGAACCGCACATAGGTTAGTGCAAGCGCTCTTTTCAATGCCTGGTTAAAAATACCCTGTGATGTTCCCTAGGTACAAGGCTTGCAGAAAGGCCAAGTAAAAGAGTAAGGGAAAATGAATAGTCGAAGAGTAAGTCAAAGGGTGTGTTGTCATGGAGAAGACGATTGATGGAGTCTAACAGCTA